AGTCCGTTGTCATAACAATATGCGCGCTGAGGGAAAGTCTTTCGATGCGCATATACTGTAGACGCTGTTTACTTTCGGTTACATTGGTTACTGAAAATGTCCTCGTTTTTGTCCACATCGTAAACTTTATTTATATAGCAACAAATACATATAAATTAAATAAATACTGTAAATGGCGGTAATACCGCCGCATATCGCGCTGTTGAGCCACTCAACATAACCGCAAGGGAAATTCCATAACCGCGACAGCCCTATGACTAGGGTTGGGTATCGTTTGAATTTGAACGATTCTGATTCCGATTCCGATTCCTTGTTTCGATTCCGGTTCCTAACGATTCTCGATTCCGATTCTTTTAAGAGGCAGGGTCAAAAAAGTTTAGCTAACTTTGCTAACCAACGGCCTTTCTGAAGGAAATACTCATTCTGTAAAAATACTCCTTTTGTCACAAATTTTGCATTTTGCTGAGATTTCGTTATTTTTAGAAAAGTGAAGCCACACTTTGGACCGCCGACGTAAGGTACTCATGTTCGACTCGCGCGGTTATGCCAACACTTCCGGTAGACGCTTCTTCGTTGGTGTTGTTCAGCGGTTTCTTCTTCCGCTCAGCGGACTGTGAATATCGAAACTAGGAATCGAAATTTTTACTTTTGAACGATTCCGGGAAAAACTAAAAGTTAGTCTCGGTTCCAATCGATAATCGATTCTCGATACCCAACCCTACCATTGACTTACCTCAACCCCGTCCCTAAACCTAACCGTCACTGGGGTTAATGGCATTTATGACTGGACATTTGACGGCGTGTACAGACACGCGGAATCACTCGGAGGTTAATGGCGTAGACATACACGCGGGTAGCTCAAAATGCTTAGAGATAACACGCCGCTTGACTCGAAAGTGGCGTGTATGTTTACGCAAAAGTCATGATGTCATGTTGCAGACGCAGTGAGGGCCGCGGGAGAACTGCGCAAGGCCGGTGGCGTGATTACCGATGAGACACCTGTGAGACGCACCGGTCTCGTATCTCTCACGGAGGAGCGGGGATTTTCTTAGCAATGTTAAAACGCACATCAACCGATCACTTGTTTAGTGTTCACGTAAACACTACATTCAGATTCACCAATCGGAATAAATTCAGTTAGATTGAAACAAAAGCTGTGCATGTAAACAATGAATGGCGACGCCAGAAAGCAAAAGCTGAATCCCGGACATCGACGGCCGGACATGTCCGGGAAAAAGAGGACGGTGACCCCGACTACTCAGCTTTCTCCACAGAACAAGAGCCTGCTAGCTTAGCTTCCAAACAAAGATGGCCGACACTATGTGTTCATTCTGTGAATGAGATCGCCCTCTATGGGCGGGTTGAGGACATGCGGGACAGACCCGACTACTGACTGTCGGTGCGAAAGAATGAGTTTCTCCAATCTTCTCAAAACTCTGGATTCTGATAGAAGAGTCTTTAGCCTCTGGACAAAACATCCTTCGATGACGCAAAATGACGATTTTTACGTCATCCAGAAAAAAAAAAAAAACTTAAATCTCTCGACTCAGGGGGATACGAGGGTGGGAATTTGAATATACGACAGGTTTTCTACTAATACAAAGCTTAATGCTAAATCCTGAAGGATCCGTTTCAGTTTTAGCACCAAAACAAACAAAAAATCCCAGACTTGCACTGAAGAAGCGATTTGAGTCATATCTAGAGACCTGTGGGTGTGCTCTTGACTTTTTGCATATTCCGTCTGTCTGATTGAAAATCATTCAGCGTAGTCCTGAACCAGAAGGAAACGTCTAGCAGACGAGGCCATCATCCGTAGGGAAGCCTGTGTCTTACGTCTGCCCACGCGTCTGCTAAAATACTTGCTTCCTAAATGGAGGTGATGTTAAAACAAAAGCTCTGTTTCTGTTTCAGCCGCACATTCCTCTTCAACGGGCCTTTTCATTCAGAGCGTCTCCAGCTGCATCTGTGCTCCATAAAGAACCTGTGACTGATTTACCTCATGGGTTTTTCTCTTTTCCCTCTCCCGGGAGCTCGGCCAACTTGCGTGTATCTCTATCCGTAGGAAGTGTTGAAGGAGCCCGAAACGTGAGGAGCTGAAGAATGGACCCTTCTGGCGAATCACAAATCTCTCCCGTTGCCTTCATGAAAAGAGGCCAAAGCTTTTGTTTTTCGTGCCAGTCAGTTGAGCTTCCTCTGAGAAAACCGTCCGAGGGATGATCCTGGTGATCTTTTGGAAAGAAGTAACGCTTTGACTGTGTCTTGCTTGGTTTTTTTTTTTGCTTGTTCTCATCCAAGTCATTTGGCTTTGTTACAAGCTCTCGACTTAAGTTTTTGATTTATCCTTTCGAGATCAGATATATTTACTTGAAGCAACGCTGCATAAGATATTAAGACTTGCCTTTCATACTTTGAATTATGAAAATAATTGTAGGTTGTTTTCGACGGATTTTTTCGCTTGTTTTTTTAAGCCTGTTTATATTTAAAAGAAGTTACAATCTATGAAAACTGGTCATAATACTTGCTTCTAAAGTTAATTTATTTTAAGGACTCCAACTGAAAAGTCAAAAAACATCCAAATTATTTATAATGGAGAGAAAAAAAATCTAAATTTTTTTTTATTTTTTTGAAAATATTAATCGATTTGACCTACCAACTCGATTTTTAAAAATCAAATCGATTTTTTTTTTCCCCAGCCGGGATTTTGCACTTTTATTTGTGGCCTGCATGGACAATAAAATCCTGTGAGCTTTTTGGCCCATATTTGTGTGCGGATCTCTTTTTTTCTTATTTTTCATTTCCTTTTGGATCTAAAGAAGATATCACTCATCAGTTTGGGAATAATGTTTGGTGCTATGCCTTTCCATCCTCTTGCTTAGATTTATAAATTCTATATACACACACTAAGTTGATTGCCAAATATCCATATATATTCAAATATATAATTTTGAGAGCTTCATGAGTGCTTCATGGGAGTGGGTGGAGCTAACGAGATCATTTGGCACGTTTTTTGCTTGTTTCAACTCTGATTGGTGGATTTTTCTCTACAGCATCATGGGTAGTGCAGTTTTTTAACCTAAAATCCACTATTAAACAAGATTATTTTAAAACTAAGACGAAATAATGCATACTAAAGGCTTCAACAAAACCAAATACGATGGATTAATAACATACAGTAAGGCTGTCTTTAAGTTATCGACTTTCTCTGAAACATGACCGAGATATATTAACTCTACTCTTTCTCTTGATGGTCTTGCATGTTTTTCTATTTCTCCCTCTGGCCTCAGCCTCTGCTTTGAGAAAAGTTAACCTGGTTTGGCTTTGCTATTTCAGACCAGCTCAAAATGAGGCGTAATGATGATGCTGTTTTTGTGGTCGCAGGCTTTATGCATGCCTTGGGGTTTTATTGATTCTGGTTATGGTGAACAGCCAAGCTAGGAGGATGGCCTACTTTCACCCATCTGAGACACGTTTAGACAGTTTCACTGTTTATTTTACAGACATTTAGCTTCACATTTAGCCATTGTTTACCAGCAAATTCAGTTAGTATGTTTCTTAGGAAATATAACAAACAAAAAAGCACACTTTGGGCTAGTTTATTGACCCCCTCATGGTTTGATTTGATCTTAGATAAAAAATGTTAGTCTCATTGGATATGCGCCACTATACAAGCCATCAGAAAATACATCCATTCATTCGTAAGGATTTTCCGGAGTAACTTAATTTTGCTCAATACAAGGTGACAGCTGTTTAAGACACTTGGCTCTCTCGTTTTTACAGGAAATAACTTGTATCCGTAAATTTACAATTACAACAAGCGTACAGTGTTCTGCGTCGTTTGTTCCGCCACATAGAAATTACTCAGCCAAGCCAAAATTCAGTAATCTGAAAATTAAATAAATGGTGTTGGAGAAGCTTACATTGGTTGGTCAGATTTTGGTTCTTCAAGAAGCCTTTGGGAGGTTGTAAAGCATTCGCAAAACATTGCACTTCTGTAATGTGACTTATTTCTGAGTGAATGCCGAACAGGACCATATGAAAACATGAAAACGTATTGCATTGTGTGCAATAAGAAAGTAAATGGTGTCCCTTTTGATTTCACATCTACTTATTTGACTGATACGCTTTATGTTGCTATGCAGGGATGCATTTGCTTTGACAATATTGACACCTATGATGTAGCATCTGTGGCTTTGTACTGTATATTTATAGAGATGTGCTGCGTATTGCTAGCTTGGATGAGGGGGCAGATTCACGGCAACACACCGTGACCACAGTTTCCTGTGAGACTCTTTGCTGTACAGATAAAATTTCCACTCGTGATCAGAGTTTATTGCAGGGACACGCTTTAGGGATATTAAATAAAGGAACTGTTTAGTCTGAGTCAGATGCCATGAATAATCAGGTCAGATGGAGAGCTGCAGGCCTGACAAATAAGGGATGGGGCAATTAGGCTCATCCGAATAATGGTAATGGCACCTTATCTCCGTTCAATTAAATCCAGAAGCTCGTTTGCAAATGATTGATCTAATGGAGATGAATGAGACTGGAACTCGTTTCAAAGCAGAAAATTGAAGGTTAATAGAAAGAAAGAAGGCCAGTACGTAATGTAGGACTGCAATTACTAATCAATAAAATCACTTAAAATGGTTGTTGACAAATGACATTGTGCTGTCAAGGACATCCTTCGTCAATAAATGTTGCTTTTCTGTTGGGAACATTTGTACATTTCTAGGAACAAAATGCCATCGAATCGATTAATTGCGATTAATCAACTTGACAAACTTTTATGTTATGCGATTAATCGCGATTAATCGATTTGATCGCACTAAAGAATATAGATTTTAAAAATGGAGAGGTGTTTTGGTGTTTTAACGCCAGTCTATTTTACTTTAATCATATTTGTTTTATGTTTTATGTACTTCTTAATTGAAGAAGTAATCGATTAATCACTCATGTTAGTTGTGAGTCGCAGGCCTAATTCCTTGCATCCTCTTTTCCAGGTGCTAGATGGTGGTTGCGAAGGCAGTACGTAATGCTGAAGGGGCTCGTCCTGAGTCAGAATGAGTGTCAAAGATGGCGATGGGACGACTAGCCAAGATGGAAAGGCCTACGAACTTCAGATATACCCCCGACTGGCTCGAGAGACGGCGTCGTGCTGTACAGTCAGAGTCACCAAGGAGGCCACCGCTGCTACCGTCATCCAAGATGTGGCGACGGTCCTCGGACTGGACGCCAGCAAGCGATATGTCTTGGCGGAGGTGAAGGAGTGTGGCGGGGAGGAGTGGGTGCTGGAGTCGACCGATCTTCCGGTGCACAGGGTCCTTCTCTGGCCGAGGAAAGCCCAAGAACAGCATTCTCGGAACGAAGGGTTTTACTTTCTCCTGCAGGAGAGGAACTGTGATGGCTCCATCTGCTACGTGCACCTGCCCGCCGTGGCAAACGAGCAGGAGTCCAAGCGACTGGTGGCTCGGGGTTTCCTCCCACCAAAGCAGGAGGACTTTGAGGACCTTTGCAACCTTCCGGTCCTCAATGAGGACAGCATCTTGGATAACCTTCGCAATCGCTTTCAAAAGAAGAAGATCTACACGTACGCTGGCAGCATTCTCGTTGCCATCAACCCCTTTAAGTTCTTACCCATTTACAACCCCAAATACGTCAAAATGTACGAAAACCACCAGTTGGGCAAGCTGGAACCCCATATTTTCGCCATTGCCGATGTGGCCTACTATGCCATGTTGCGCAAGCACGTCAACCAGTGTATCGTTATCTCAGGAGAGAGTGGATCGGGCAAAACGCAAAGCACTAACTTCCTCATTCACTGCTTGACGGCCCTCAGTCAGAAGGGTTACGCAAGCGGCGTGGAACGAACCATCTTGGGTGCAGGACCTGTGCTTGAGGTAAGATTATCAACACCTTGATACGAATGGGGTTTGGTTGCATGTTTCACAACATTCGTAAGGGAATTCTGGATCCGTAGATTCGTTTAAGGACTGGGTCATGGGATAGTTGAAAGTGCCCAACTTCCTCTTGGACAGATTCTGAGCTTTAGTCTCGAGAGTTTTGAGACCTATCAGACGTTATGTTCAAACAATTAATTGGTGGGTTTTTCAACCTTGTCAACCTCCTAAAATAATAATGGCGTTTAAGAACCACACATTTGATCGTCAATGTTGGGTTTTCTTGTGTATTTTATCTTTATTTAAGCATTATGCATCAGATTTATGTCTTTGAAGACTCACTTCCACAAAATATCTCTTTGGTTGAAATTGTAGGGTGTGGAAAAGTCGGTATGTTGAACGTTCTCAAGGCAGGCCTACAATAAGTAAATTGGGGATCGGAAGATTTGTTTGAGGATTTAGGGATGTTGGATGGTTGAAAACTGTTTCTAAATGTCGTCTTACGTTTCACTCTGTGCAGACTCTAAGCTCAAGCCTCTTGAGTTTTAAAATCTTTCACATGGTTTGTTGTAAGGTATTAAAATGGTGAAGAAAAACGATGTCAGTTGATTTAGCCGTTTGTAGTTATCAACCTTAGAACTTGCCAACCCGTAAAAATAGGGCTGCACGATTATGACAAAAAATCATAATTGTCGATTATTGCCTTGAAATTATAATTGCGATTATTAATTACGATTATCACAATTTACGTTGAATGATGTTTTGAACAGCTTTATGACATTGTTCGAAGTGACTGCATGCAAATTGTTATATCAAAATAAAACGGCTAAAAAACTCCTGAAAAACTTTCAATGCTTTTCTACAAGTAAGTGCTTTTAACTTTTTAAATGCTTTTCTACAAGTAACTTCAAGTAACACCAAGTAACTTTTCCTCTTCGGTCGCCCTACTGGTTGGAAACGAAATTGTCCATTGCCGCTGTCGTAAATAATTTAGCCTACCGTCGCACGCATGCTTGCTGTTTATCCAGCACCGGCTTTAGAATGAACGATGTCCACAGACAAAGTAGAGTATGTTACATGATTTCATGAAACGATGATGTATTGCGACATCAGAAACGAAGAAAAACGAAATAATGACTATTGTAGTGCTTGATGTAAAGCAGTCGAATTTTGTAGTTCTTTTTGTGGTCGGGTTCCTACCCGAACCCCGAAGTTAGTGCCAGTAAAAGTGAGACCCTGTCAGGCGACGGCAGAAGTGCCTTTCACCCTGTTACGACTTGATGAACCACTGATAAGATTTTGGAAACATTATTTTAAGTAAACAGTTAGATAGTGTTGCTTTAATTCTAATTCTAATTAAAATGTTACACTAACTAAAATTAAAACATTGGGGGAAAAACCCTTAAGATAAGCTGTAAAAAAACATTTTAAGCACACAAAAAAATGTAAGTGGACTTTTTATAATTGTACCTTTGAACGATTACATAATTGTGGCATCCATAATTGTAATCGCGATTACAAATTCGATTAATTTTGCAGCCCTACGTAAAAATGGTAGTGACATGTAATAACTCTAAATTTGATTGCCAAAGTTGGGTGTTTGTGTAGTATTTCTATTCATTTGTGCATGATTTTGAATCCTTGTAAACTTGTTTCTACAAAATGGCTTTTTGGTTGGAATTATAGGCTCTAGAAAAGCACTCTACTTTAAACAATGCTTTGTAGCAAACATAATGACAGCTTACCCACAGGTCTCTCAGTCTTCACTGTAAACTGTAGCTCTTTAGATCAGTTATTTACAGTGCGCTTTCTCACAAGCCTGTGCTTGAAACGTGGGGTCGCAACTTGCTGTACTTTTATGTCATGTTGCGGTACCGGCAAACCTACACCTTGAGGCGTTCCTCGGGGGGCCGTGTCTCATGCAGTTGTTGTTGTTTTGTTTCTTGCTGTAAAATTATTGCTTGGTCCCATAAACCTGTTCAAGCACATTCTGTTATTTTGCAAAATTTCAGCAGAACCCCTTCCCCATCCCTGATCTCATGGCGGTTTATGGAAGTGGTAACCCTTGCGAAACACTTGCAAAGAGTGCATTTGGAGAAAGGTTAGAGTAATGTCATGAAATATTCAAAGCCTAAGGGTTATCGTCTAGAGGCTTTATTCAGATTATTGGAAAGTTTTAGGTCTGCATGATATTGGAGAAAAAAACGATAACTTGTTAAATGATGCGATATTCAATGTGCAATAGAGTGCCGAAGTGATCACGTGGGTTCCCTCGGTCGAAAAGCAATGCATTTTCCCCACAGACTTTTGGAAAATCGCCAAAAATAAGATCTGTGTTTAACAAAGAGTTGTGACCCTTACACGTTTTGTCTAGCAAGATAATCTTTACAAGTTAATCCAAAATGTATACATTTTGAAGACTATATAAAGATTTAAAAAACACAACCAGACACAATAAAGTTTAAAAAACCTCAAGCAGGTTATAACTGTGTTAAAAACGTGAAAATATTTAGAGGCTTTGTTCACCACAGACCTTATTTCAGGCGATTTAGCAAAAACCCATTCAAAAATCCCATAGGCTTGAAAGCGAGGGAACCGTAGTGCTAAAATGCTAACTCACTTCCGCGTTTTGGCCTACAGAGTGACGTCGTAACTTCGGCACTCTATATGATAATGCTTTAAGTGTGTAAAATAAATTTAAATTATACTTATTATCATATTCTTTTTGTGAGAAGGATCCCTGCAATTTCTGAAATCGAACGGCAGTGTCTTATTGTAGCATTAGCTACAAAGTAAATGTAATTTTCATTTCAAATATAAAACAGCGGGTTTAGGATTTCAAGTAGGCCTGTATTAGGTTAACTTAACAGAAATTGAATAATCAAATGTAAAAATAAAACTGATTCTTATTAAAGATACACAAGTTCTTCAGTCAAGAGCAGTGAGTGATTTTCATGCACGCTTTCTTTCTCAACTGTTTACTCCACTTGAGACAACTTATGTTTACATACTCACCAAGATGGCCGTTTTGACATAATTTTGTGTGTATTTTGTCATATAAGCTGTGGAAGAGAACTGAAATTAGGATTATGTGCTGTCTGAGAGACGGCTTTCTGTGCGCGCAAGTACTTTGCTTATTGCGCCTAATAACATTAAGCATCCCAGACAGCATTGAAACAACGTTGATTTTGCTCATCGAATTAACGTTGAACCAACGTCAGACGCGGCATTCTTCAAAGCTAAATGAAAATCGAAGATTGGTTTGGTTTCATAATGTTGAAACAACGTTGATTTCAAGTTGATTTTCCGTTAGTTTTGAAAGAATGACGCGTCTGACGTTGGTTCAACGTTAATTCGATGAGCAAAACAATGTCAGATCAACGTTGTTTCGATGTCATGTTTCCACGTTGATTTAATGTCAGTTTGCTATCTGGGATGTCACTGTAACAGTCATGTATCCAGTCTATTCTCTGCTTTCTGCGTCATCCTAAAACTTATACTTTTCATGATCTTTTGAAGTATTAAAATCATGCAGTTGCGTGCAATAGTTCAATACATTGTGCAGCCCTTTTCAGACATCACCCTTGCATGTGAAGTTATCTATCAGGCAATTTATTAGATACAAAACCAACCCACGTGGCTTCCGAGAATCACATCTCTTTTTTGTACTTCAGAAAGTTTTCTCTACACAACATATCATCATGTGAAACCTTTTGGTGTTTGTTTCTTATCTCTCAGCCCCCTTATATCAGAGCAAAGTTCACTCGCGTAGCAAGTCCTGGAAGAGATGAAAGGGGGCAAGTTTTGTGTTGACGCTTGCCTCCGTCTTTGTGGTTTTTGAAAACTAGAAGTCATTTCCCCGCAGTCAGCATAGTCATTGTCCCTTGGCAGACGTGTCTTGAGGCTTAATAACCAAATAGTCCTGCGTCTTCTTCGCTTGTGGTGAGAAGCATTCTGTGAAACTGGTCAATTGAACATTGAAAACGTCTGGATGGAGCTTTGTTCTGGTCTCAATGATCAGAATCAGATCTCCATGAGGTTTCTATGCCTTTCATGGTCTTATGAAGTTCGTTTGTCTCATCCATCTTCCAAGACTATCAATTGGTGCTGATTTGTTAGGAAAGGACACAATATTCCACTTATTATTCTTTCCGTTGTATTGGAGAGAAATGTTACCATATGTGGTTTAATGCAAAGTTCCTTCTAGTCCAGGCTTTCACGTGTCACTTGGACGGATAAATCCACTGAGCTTTTGGTTGCACTCCCATTTCTAATGTCCACCATCAGCATGTTAGTTCTAGTTAGTAATTGGTCAAGTTTTCTTTCACCAACTGTGGAATCCACAAGTTTCCTACGCCCCATGAGGCCTTGCGTCAAAAGTGGGCGCGACTTCCGGTTGGAAGTAAACAAAGCGCGACTTGACATACTTCACACAGTCATTCAAGTTATAGCGATCCAAACTAGCTAACGATGTGGGAACACAACCTCAACGAAATTCAAAAGTGTGAAATAACAGTACCTTTACCCTCCGCAGTGTATTATAATAACATTATTAATAATCAATACTCATCAAGGCATGGTGACAGACAGTTGCGTGAGCTGACAAACAATTAAAATAAAAAATACACACTTAGTCATTGTGCTTTGGAGTTTATTCAAAATTATAAATGAATGTGCTGCTTGAATACATTACCTGGCACATTTGGTATTCTGTCAACTCCTGAGTTTAGGTGTAACATCAGTAGCGAACAGCCAATCACATGCTGATAGAGTTTACAGAATATTAAGAATTTAAACAAATGTACACAGGAAGATTCGTCGTCTTTTGGGAGGTGATGGAAACTACAGTCGTTGGCAGGATCACTCTGATTTCGTTTTCAGCTTATCTTCAAAACAATCACGTTTAAGCCACTGAATTAGTTTAGTCCAGTTATACATACAACCGCGAACAGCACATGTTGTCCCTGAGCTCCGTAACGACATCTCTCATAAAGATTTGC